GACGCTTACCTTGGAATAAGACTGCTGTCATCTTCTCCTCGGGGAGGAGAACTCACCGGACGACCGGAGGTCGACTGCCGGGCCAAGCATCCTTCACAAGGTTGGTCATTTACACAATTTATCTTCTTTGTTCTTCTGACAGTGCTATATTAGCTCGCTGAAGAAAAAATGGGAGCCGATTTCCCGCTCTTAACGTAATTTATACGGACCGGGTGGGGCCCACACAGCAGGTGGGCGTGGACTAATTTTTTTCAGTGCTTATGCTGCGCATAACGGGATAAACCATCAGCGACAGCCTTAAAGGGCGAAGCCTATATGAAATAGAACATTAGAATTTCATGAAAGTTACACTTTTTTATCAATCATTTCAGAAAGTGAAGCTCGTACAGTGCATCCAGAACGTATTCACAGTTCACCCGTTCCACTTTTTGTTATGTTGCTGCCTTATTCCAAATGTTATTAAACTTGTCCCTTTCCTCAGAATTCTACACACAATTATGACAATGTGTAAAAAGATTTTTTTTTTAGAGATTTTTGCAAGCTTGTTAAAAATGGCAACTAAGAAATCACATTTACGAAGATATTCATTTTGCCATGAAGCTCCAAATTGAGCTCAGATGCATCCTGTTCCCACTTTGACATGTTTCTTTGACATGTTTCTTTGACATGTTTCTTTGACATGTTTCTTTGACATGTTTCTTTGACATGTTTCTTTGACATGTTTCTACAACGTAAATAGAGTCCACCTGTGGTGACTTCAGTTGATTGGACTTGGTTTGGAAAGACACACACCAGTCTAAAGAAGGTCTCACAATGTTTTTATCTCATCTCCCCAGTTTCTTTCATATTCTTACACTGAACATCATAATTGTTGGCGCTGGTGTTGTGATGGCCAAGTTTTATCCTAACATTGGATCCATTATACGGTATGTACACTTTTTTAGTAGTCATTTACAAATAGGTTGTGTTATTTGACAGATTAAAGCTGAAGAGAAAGAGGAAGACTAACAATGTTGTTTACATGAAGAAATCCAGTGGTTTTAGTCGAGGCGCTCATCATTTCAGAATAATGACTGGCTTAAAGCAAAGGAGTCAACGAGGCAGAGGTGTTACAGAGGAAATAAAAAAATAGCTAAAGTTGCGGGCTTTGCAGTGATACCTCAGACTCCGTCTAGTGCAGGGATACTCATTGTGTGGCTCCTGAGCCTCATGCGGCTCGCCATGCTTTATTGGTGGCTCTCGTGACAGGTTACAACAATACACCAGCACAGCCAGTACATTTTTAAAACGTGCTGGTGCATTGCGCAATGATTTTGCATGTCGGCTTGGACTTCTTTAATGCGGTTTTACGAATAATATTGTGTTAATGTACTCGTTGAGGAGGAGGCAGGTCCCACCGGCTGGTAGAGGTAAAAACAAAAGTCTTGTTAAGCTTCAGATGGATCAGCTGATCACCGACCGCGCGCGTCCGCTGACCCGCCGCTGGTAAAAAGACATAAAAAAAAGTCCTGTTAAACTCAGATGGATCAGCTGATCACCGACCGCACGCGTCCGGTAAAAAGACGTAAAAAAAAGTCCTGTTAAACTCAGATGGATCAGCTACCAGCCACGCGCGTCTCCACACCTGCTGTCAAGTGAAGGAAGTAAGAGCATCTAAGCAGGGCCGGTTCTAGACATGGTTACGTTAGGGGGCAGGCGGAAATGTGAAGGGGGCATCTTCATCCGCACACATATTACAGCATATTCATTGCTGAGCATGGACTTTAGTATTCATTGTTATTGTTGACTTGTGTTTCCTTCATGGGATTGGGGTAATAACTAAAAGCTGACATTTTGACACAAGTCAACATTTTTCAAACATGAACACTATGAAGCAAAAACAGAGAAACCGACTGACCCATGCCCATCTTGAATGCCTCACTGTGGCTGCAACAACAAATTACAAATACAACATGAAGAAAGTCAAGAACATGCAGCACAGCTTCCGCTCATCTCAGTACTAATGTACGTTTTGTTTAAACAGGTAATGTACTGGCTGTGTTTCTTTTTTTGTTCATAAGTGGGTTGTTCATTTTATTCTTTTATTTGAGTGACTTGGGGGATATCGCAGCTCTCCCCTTGACTTTGATCTGTCAATATGGCTCTTTTGGAAAAAATAGTGAGCATCTCTGGTCTAGTGCATAGTGGTAGGTGTAAGATGAGAAAACCCCTGAAACGTGAGAAAAACAGATGACAGAGTTTAGGTTTTGTGCAAAGCAGATGCACATATGCTGGTCAAACGTGGTGGTGGTAGACGAGATGCAGAAGGCAGCGTTTAATGCAGACGCAGGGGTCCATGCCAACATTAACATCAGTAAAAAGTACAAGAGAGCACAGAGAAGTACAGGTCTTTATGAAGATATGGTGCAGAATCGCAACTTGAGGAAAGATGTGAGTTTGTGTGAGCGGATACAGTATGGTTACACAAAAGCCAAGCAAAGACTTAAAAGGGGTGAAGTAAGATAAGGAGATAAGCTGCTGCATCTTTTCACTGTGCCAAGTTCAAAAGAAAACATACCTACTGTATGACCGAATGAGTAAAATCATGTATATTATGCCAAATGTCTTAAATATTATGTTTTCTTCCACTTTTTGTATTTGTAGGGTATGCACATCACTTTAAAACAAATCCAACCAACTTTCCCAATTGGCCCATTTAAAAATCACATCCTTTAACAAGTAGAGGGATTTCTTAACTCACAAATGACATATTAATTGTAGCACATGCTTCAGTTAAAGCAACCATTTTCTAGTCGACCACCGTGGTCAGCTGTTGGAAAAAGCAGTAAAATCTCTTCGATCCACTGGAAAACCCAAGTGCATGCAGAAGAATTTGTCCTCGAATTTCCCCCCTGGCATTAATAAAATATCTATGATTCTTCTCTAACTAAAGATTTTGGTGAAAGCTGACTAGAAAAGCTGAGCAGTGTCTAGAAACAGATTTCCACAATAACATTTACATTTGTTTCTTCTGTTTTCCTTTGCAGATATTCTGGAGCCATTTGTGGACTGGCTTTAGTGTTTTTATTTCCTGCTTTAGTCCACATGATCTCTCTGAAACAGCAGGGGAAGCTCAGCTGGCCATCAGCTTTTTTCGACAGTTTCCTTATCCTCCTGGGCATGGCCAACGTAGTTGCACAGTTTTTTATGTGAGAAGCAGTCCGTGGTCTGCTCGGCGTGTCACAGTTCATACAGGAGCTTCCTGAAGAGTTTGGCTGGAACTACAGTTCTGCTTCCATTACAACTTCTGGTCCTTCAGTTTAATTTGTCACAATCGTGTTACTGTTATGGGAAAATAAAGTTCACCTTCGTTCAATTCTAGGATTTTACGCAGCGCTGACTGGTCCATAGAGGCTCGTGGGGCGGAGCCCTACCTAAAAAATTAATTTGCCCCACAAAGTAGTTCCTTTTTAAGTTTATTTTGGCTGTTCCCTTCTTCAGGGGTCACCACAGCAAGAAAACTCACATGGAAGATTTGGCAATTTGTTTTACTCCAGATGCTCTTCCTGATGCAACCTGGGCTCGAACTCGCAACCTCAGGAATACAAGACCAGGGCACTGACCACCAAGCTAGTTCCTTCTATTAAATAATGATTATTACTTATTTACTGAGCTTGCTTATTGGCTAAAATTATTTTTAGCTATTCATCTTCAGTTCTTTACATATTTACCGTTATGGGGCAGTACCGTTCCAAAGACCCGCGTTCGTAGAGCAGATCCAAACGTGCGGCCAGTGATCCGGACAGGCAGGTCCAGTAGAGTTTCATTTCGGGCACCTGACTTTCTGCCCTGTGGACACATTCAGCTGGTTTTAGCAAATCGATACGACCACTACTGACTCTAGACCTGTGAGCTCAACGCAGATATAGCTGCAGTGAAACCTGCTGAGTCCAACAGTGGAGATATTATGTTTTTAAGTCCATTTGGAGCAGACAGACGGGACCAAAACAGAAAACTGAAAAGAACAGCGGAAAGTTAACAAAAAAAAAAAAAACTGGAAAAAGGTCAAATCACGCCATCAGGACCAGTTTCTTTGAGTGAAAAACATTTTTGTCATTGAATGGGAAGACCTGTGAGATTTCACCAGGAGGTAGGCTTGAAACACACAGTGAGGGCTACCTATTGGACAGATCTGGTTTATAGACTGATGAAGTCTTCCTGATGAGAGATGAAATGTTTCTGGTCCAGATGACATGATTTAACCTTTAACCTGGTGGGACCTTCTTTAAAGAGTTTTGTGACCTGTAGTGGCTCAGTGGTTAAAGCACTGCTCTTACAACCGTACAGTTGTGGGTTTGATCCCAGCTTGGTTCTTTTATTTGATTCAGTGATATCATTTTTCACTTTTTTTTTTAACTTCACCAAACTTTTTTTCTTTATATATTGGGGCATAAAATAAATGTTCTAGTCTTTACCAAGTTCTGGATTTTATTTATTTATTTTTTTCCTAATTTAACCTCAAATGTACAAAAGCACAGAACAGATTCCACCATGACCTTATTTATTAAAAAAAGAACCATTCAAAAATTGAAAAAGTTGTGTATGGATAAACTAAGTCCACTCTTGTTTTTCTAAGATTTAGGAGGGAAAGTAAAGTCTCAGCAGGGTTAAAGGTCATATCTAAACACTTTGGAGTCCTTCGTTCTACAGCAAGAGATTATTCATGAGTGGAAAACATTTTAAACAGTTTCCCATCTTCCTACAAGTGACGGCGGCAATTTTACCCCAAGGTCAGACTGTGCAATGATCAAAGAACTTGCACAAAAAATAAAATAAACCAAGAGCACCCTCTCAGACTACGACCTCAGTTAGCTGGTTCTTTTTTTAGGTTCAGGACAGGACAGCTGGACAAGTATGGCTTGTTAGCAGGAGAAACTTGTTTTTGTAAAAAAAAAAAAAAGCACAGATTAGATTAGCAAGTTGCATCTAAGCAAACCACAAGGCATTTGAAAAAACTTTAGACAGATGATACTAAAGATGTTTACCCATAATGCACAGTGTCATTTTTCAAAATAAAACTACCTCAACCTAATCAAAATGCTGTGGTGGGACTTTGAGAGCTGAGCTGAATGAACTGAAGCAGTGTTGTAAAGACGAGTGGACCAGAATTCCTCCACAACCATCAGACTGTTAGTCCTACAGAAAAAGACCACGGAGGCTTTTTACTGCTAAAGATGGTTCTGCAAGTTGAGTCATGGGTGTAATTAGTTTTCACACGCAGCTTTTGTTATTCTCGCTTCATTTTTATTAAATAGTGACATGTTGGAATTTGTTGTGTTTTTTTACACGAGGTTAGATTTCAATAATTATAAAACTCGTAAAGACCTGATCATTTTATTACATCCTAAAACTTACAACCCTAGAACTGAATGAGGGTGGACTTTCTTTTTTCCATGGCTGTAATTTAAATATCACCTACTGGGCCAATGAGTTTGTGCTAATGTACCAAAAATATGAACCATTTTAATTCATGCAATCCAGGTTTATTTTTTTATAGGTTGAACGTTTCTTCAAACGTGGATTACTTTTGCTTCAGCTGATGTGACGATCCCGTCAGCCCAGACAGAAGCTGTAAAATGTGTGAAACTCTCAGTAGCCGGAGAGATGAATGTTTGACTCGCCCTTAATGTATGCAAGCATGGTATTATTTATAAACCTATTTTCACGAAACAATGTAGCAATGACTTCAAAAAGGGAAAAAGTAGTTGCACCCCTGAATTTCACGAAGTTGCTGCTGCTTGAAAAGTTGTCTTGCTGCTACAGTTTGGTTCTGTTACTTCCGTTTTGCTCCGAGTGAAAGAGAATCTGCTCCTTCAGCTTCATGAAGTTTTATCGTTGCTGTTTGAGAAGTCGTCTTGCTGCCACTTCATCACTGCAGCCGTTTCCTCTGAAGACTCTTAAAGGGATCTTCTGGCTAATTTGAAGTGGTGTTTGGTGTAAAACTTCTAAAGCTTTTTTTTTTTTAACAGCCACAGTTAACATTCAACAAGACTGACGAGGTCATGACTAAAATTAACGGTGCTGCCATCTTAAACAACTCCAGAGTCTAATTTGTAGCTGTTCATTCAAATGCCATTTTATACACTGCTCTGTCTTCCAGTATTTATTTCCATAAATTTTGTGCAGATTTACAGCAGCAGTGAGCTGTAACCCCTCTGGAGCAGCCTGGGCTCAAATCTGATGGTAATTTTGTAACATTTCTGCTGGAAGAACTCTGTGAAACTGATGTAACGGCTTCATAAATAGGAATTGCATGAACTATAAGGTTTAAAAGTAGGGATGCACAATATTGGATTTTTGGCCGATATCCAATATGCCAGTATGTTAAAACTTATTTGGTCGATAACCGATACAAATAATTTTTTTCTAGACCTACTTACAGAGACCACGTGGCTTTTTCTGCTGTAGAGTTAAAATACATTATTCTGCATGGTCAGTTTGACCTGCTACCAAATGCATATGCCAAAAAGGGGCTGAAAATGATGCAACACTTCAACTTGGATTATGTTTCTTGTCAAATTTATGCATGACATTTACTCTGTAACACAGTGACAACACTTGAACAGTGCAAATTTGTACATTGTCACAAATCTAAACTCAACGTGTGACATCATACCGTTGTGCCGGCGCTGCAGGCATCCTTATCACTGGGTTGTCATACAAAAACAGCGCCCGTTATATCGATGAGTTATTTTGATGGAATGGCCATTGTCCGATATTTAACTTTATTGTTAATATCAGCCGATATCGATACCATGCCGATATCGTGCATCCCTATTTAAAAGACAGGAGTTGTTTTACGATGACCGTGGTCCACCTAGAAAGTGAGTTTGCTCAGACAAGTCATTATTAGCTTGTTCCTGTCCAGAGTGGATTTGTTTCGCCCTGCCGTCAGGCTAGTTGCTCATCTGTCCTGTTGGATGTAAACGCTTTCTCCAAAATGAGGCTGTTCAAAGAGCGATCTGCAACAGATGATCATAATCTAAAAAAGTTAAATCTGGTCCTCTGGACTTTTTTTTTTTGTTTGTTTTTTGAATGTCCAGAGGACCAGATTTAACTTTAGATTTTTTACCTGGATTATTGAGCATGCATCTGGATATGATGTTCATAATGTTCAAACTTCACTCCACTTCAAGAAGGACATTTAGTTTCCAGGAGTTATGATTTAAGACAATAAATAATAAACTTTGTTTTGTTGGGTAGAAGCAACTCAAAAAGTGTTGCTTCCCAGCTTCTGGATGTATCGAATTCAACTCACTGTATTTAATCTGGACAGCTAAAAAAAGCTTTCATAAATCAGCATTTACAAACAACTACTTTATCTTTTAATTATATCAAACTTTCTGGGTATGGACACATTTCACTTTCATTTAACCATGATGAATTTGTGTTTTTGAAGCCTTTAAGCTTTGTTGACTTGTTTGATGTAATCTTTTTTTTTTTTTTGTATTTTAGCATTGATGACAAAGGGAATTTCTGTGTGAAAATTAAAGGATATCAATTTAAAAATTGTTATTTAATACTTTAAATAAACTTGTTTGATTTGAACCCGATTGCCTGAACTGAGCTGGCTTTTCTACAATCGACAACTTTAAAACTAAAGCTTAGAGATCACAAGATGGCAGAGTGGTGCACCACAAACAACCTGAAGGTAAACTCTTCCAAGACAAGAGATGGGACCACACTCCTCTAACCATCAGTGGGCCTCGTATGGAGAGGGTGCTTCACGTTTCTAGAGACCTACAGCTCAGAGAACCTCACCTGATCATCCAACATGTCAGCACTGGTCAAAAAGGCCCAGCAGACTCCACTTCCTGTGGGTGTTGTGTCTTAGACTTCCAGTGTCTTGTATGGGTGCACAGCCTGAATCCAGTTCGAACCACAAGCGTTTTACTGAGAAAATAAAAACTTCTGAGAGAAGGAACAGAATGGAGCTACAGTCGAACACTTGTTCGTATATTCTAATGAAAGCTTTATTGTTGGATGTTCGCTCGTAGCTGTAGGAACTCAGGCAGTGGTCACTTCCCGTCAATAAAACGGGCTGGATAAACTGTACAACGTTTAAAACATTTGTTGCTTGTTCATGCTGATATACAGGTGCATGAGTGAGACCCCACAGCCACTTGTTCCACGTCATAATGGAGGCAGCCTAGCTGTGCAGACCTACTAGATGATTATATCGATGTCTGGTGAGCAACACTGGCAGATGTTTTGGAAGCACACACACAGATGTCATCTACGATTCTCATTCGTCAGCGCACAAAAAGAAAACGTATATATCAGAATAGATTCTCAGGACACCTTTGGCAGAACTGTTGCGCTCCTTCACCCGTCTGACCTTTAATCAAAGGTCCAACTGAATCTTGGCTGTATCAGATGTGACGCACCATTTAAAGCAAGAGAAAACCCTGACAGTGACAACAGAAAGTGGCGTCTTTGTGCAAATACACTGTGCAGGTTCAGTCAAATGTTTCCCACTTCCTCCGCAGGTCTTCCACCTTCTTTTTCTGTGGTGTAACTGGTGTGGCCAAGCTCAGCAGGTCCCCAAAAGGATCCTTAGCTTTTTGGTGTTCTCCCTGTGTCTGCAGAGGCTTTGGCAGCGCGTTCACGGACGTGCTAAAGACTGACGTCGAGTCTACTAGGCTGGAGAGAGCGTGACTACTGTCAGAGGTGTGAGGCATGGGGGTGACTGAAGGGGCGAAGGCCGACTGGAAGGCTGACTGGGACAGTCCGTGGCTGGGGGGCAGGGTGGAGCTGCCAGGGGAAGGCTGTCTGTAGAGCCCTGGTAGTGTAGAGAAGGATAGTGGCTGGGATGAAGTGTTTATGTAGGAACCTGGGAGAGGTCCACAAATTGCACTGAAGGGATTCCCACTTACAGTGGGTGAGTAGTGCTGAAGAGGTGGGGCAAAAGGGTTTAGTGATACCTGAGGAGGAAGTGTGAAAGGAGGCAAACTCTGAGGGTAGAGTCTGGGTGGTAGTGGTGGTTTACAAGCAGTTGATGTAGTGATATCTAGTCTCTCAGTTGGTGCAGTGGAGTTGTTCAGGGGGTCTAGAAGACTCAGCAGATCCATACTGTCCTCAGAAACCTTAGTGGGTCCCAGCAAGTCTCCATCACAGGTCAGGCTCAAGGCTTGCCTGAACTCGTGTCCACCTGACGTAGTCCTTCCTTCACTCAATCCTGCAGCTTTGGGGCGTGGCGGGACAGCAGGGGGTACGAGAACTGTCCCAAGCTCAGGTGTCTTCCTCCCTTGGGGACGAGGAACGGTTATGTTGGCAGGGTTGGAAGGGTCTAAAAGGTCGGGGACTGTGCTAGAACTTTCACGGCCGAGAGAACAGGTTTCCATTTGCACCGGAAGTTGGACGGATGAAGGTCTTTCGCAGGTGGGAGGCACACAGACGGGCGAGACCAATCTGTCCTGGCCTGCACTCCACAGCTTGTTGTAAGGGTTGGACAGCCTGAGACCTGGAAGTGTTCGGGAGTTCTCACCGATCTTCAGATCCATCCTCTGGAAGCACAAAAAAATAAAACCCAAAGTGTGTTTATCTGTTTGGCTTGTTTGAATATAAGCTCAGGTAATCATGTGCTCAAAGTTCACAAAACATGGCACCATACGGAGCTGTAGATACTCACCTGTAACTCTATGAGGTATATAAATACACTTATTCAGTTTTTACTGGTTAAACCCATTACTATTTGCACCAAAAGTAAAAATAAAACGAGTTAAGACAGGATGAACTAAAAATACTGACCTGGTAGGAGAACTTTGGTTGCAGATCCTCAGACTCTTTGGGAGTTCTCAGGTCCTCCAGACTTTTAGCCAGTGTAAGTGAATGGCTGTCGGGCTCGTCCTGGCAGCCAAAGATGTCCCCGAGCAGGTTGATATTAGAGAACCTTTCAGTAACTGGACTGGGAGGGGCCGTGTGGCTCTCTGCCCCAAAACCAGGATCGTCTCCTTCTATCAAGTCCACCTCCTTGAGGGAGCGGTACGGCTGTGGCCTGCAAGCAGAGTCTTATTAAGTTATTTATGCACTGGAGGTCATCATAGGTTTAAAACTGCTATGACCCCAAACAAAGACCACATACCTTTAGCTTTACATGAAAAAAATTCAGCCTAAATTTTGACATCTTGTGTCTTTCATAACAAGCTGCAATGTTCTAAAAAGGTTTGACTGAAAACAGAGCTTGAGGCTGGGTTTACCCTGCCTCGAGAAAATATTGTGTTACAATGTTACAGCAATACTTTCATGCAAGAGCTTCCCTTTCCTGAGCGTATTACTAGAGAAAATATGCACTCTGGTTCACAGGAAGACAAAAGAATATCAGCAAAAGCAATCAGAGAGGTGCGTACTGAGGTGACCAATCGAAAGGGGCAGAGAAAAGAAAACTGTCAGGAACCCCAGAGATGGATTCGTCGTATTGAAGCTCGTCTCCAGACGAATCCTCAGACAGAAAGACTGTATAGTGACGAGTTGGACGGATAGAACTAAAGTAAGTAGAGACAACACACCGTCATTAGTACATTAAAAAGGGACAGGAAAGAAAGGAGAAATTAAGAAAAGCTGAGGATCTGAAATATTAGTATTGATTCAGACACAGTTACACAACATTAAGCTGCAAGTGTGAGTAAACTAAAAGCAGCTGCACAGTTAGTTGACATCCGAAGCTACAAGATTCATCATTATGTTTTTAATGTGCTGAAAAGAATAATAAAACTGCATTTTACACCCATTTTTGTCCATTTGAGAACAACCTGAACATATTACCAAAAAGCAGTGATGCTTTTAACAGAAGTGGTTTTCAAACATGTTTGAGCATGCCATAGTTTGTCCATCACGAACACCATGTTTGAACATAAGGGTGTCCAATAGTACAATTGGCACCAGGACGCCCTAGGTCGTAGATCGATGATTGACTTTGTAGTCGTGTCATCTGATTTGTGGCCGTTTGTTTTGGACACTTGTGAAGAGAGGAGCTGAACTGTCAACTGATCACCACCTGGTAGTGAGTTGGATCTGATGGTGGGGGAAGATGCCGGACAGACACGGTAGACCCAGACGTGTAGTGAAGGTTTGCTGGGAATGCCTGGCAGAAGAACCCATCAGAAATATCTTCAACTCACACCTCCGGAAGAGATTTAACCACATCCCAGCTGAGGTGGGGGACATTGAGTCTGAGTGGGCCATGTTCCGCAATTCAGCTGTTGGAGTGGCTGCCTTGAGCTGTGGCTGCAAGGTTTTCGGTGCTTCTCGCGGTGACCATCCTAGAACTCGGTGGTGGACACCCCCGGTTATGGACAGACCAACCTCAAAGTCCCTTGACTCCGCTTCCTCCATGGAAGACGTGCCAGTGGGATTGAGAAGGTCCTAAAAGTATTCCTTCCCCCTTCCGACAACATCGCTGGTTGAGGTCAACAGCACCCCACCTTCACTGAACACTGTGTTAGTAAAACGCTGCTTTCCCCTCCTCAGCTGCATGATTGTTTGTCAGAATCTCCTCGGAGCCGACCGAGTCTGTAGGCAATGGCTCACCGAACTCTTCCCACATCCGA